AAATATGCCAAATAAAATAAATCTTGAGACACGTGGTTTAGAAAACAATCTGAAGCACTGAGATTGTTGGTCGATAGTTCTTTAAGATGAGACAGGGAATGGTGTAAATGTGATTTTGGGAATTGCGGGGAATAGCAATTGGTCAACGGTTAAATTATATAACAAGATAATAGTATATTATGTTAAGCTTTGTATTTATTACTTGTCTTTTCTTCAGAAATAAAATTTAAAAAAAATTAAATTTAAAATAAAAAATTTAAAAGCTCACGTTGGAGAAAATGTATTTTTCAAAGACAAAATAAAGATGTTAGAAGATGAAAAGATAACATCAAATAATGTGGTTTAGCTAGATCGTTGGATGAAAAAGTGGGACAGAATAGCAGCAAATGCTGGGAACTAACAAGTTAGAAATCATGAAGCAGCTCTTAGCATTATGGGAAGTAGGTAAGTCAAAAAAAGCATATGGAAATTTTTTTAAAATCAATTATCTGGGAGCATAAAATGTTTATAAATTGATTTGGAGACTGCATAATCTTTAATTTCACAGGCATCAAATGCTTAAAAATACTACAAATTATGTTGGAGATGTGGTTATCTGGGAGAATAAAATGTTTATAAATTGATTTGGAGACTGCATAATCTTTAATTTCACAAGCATCAAATGTTTAAAAATACAAATTATGTTGGAGATGTGAACGGGGTATACTTTAATGTACGTGCCAATAGTTATGGCAACCCTTAAAAAGACTTTTGAGATATGTATAATGTTGAGTGGTTTACTCCTCCCAATGTGTTTGCATAGCTGAACAGGGACTTGAACCCACATCTCTCAAGCCCCATTCCAACCCTCTACCCAAAGCTACAAGAAATTCATTTTATGGTATTCCCAGTTACTGCCTACAGATGTGGAAAATGGAAAACAAGGAAAGCAAATAGGAAGGGAATTATTCCTCCCATGTCCTGGGAGAAAACCTAGCCAGACTCCCACAGAGAGAAGTAACCTGATTCTAGAGCAAATCAAACCTAAACTCACTAGAGACTAAAATGACTATTGTGAGCTTATGTAAAGTTCTGCACTGAACAAGGAATTGGGCTCAACGGTCTTATCGGCCCCTTCCAAAGCCATCATTTATGATCACGCTAGAATGGAATAGATAACGCTAGGCATCATGAAACCATGAGAAAGAGTAAAGCCCATTATGAGGCAGGTTGACCAAACAAAGGAATCAATAGCTTTTAGGTCTTCAAGACCTGATATGGGTTATTAATGACAAGCCTTTGGGGACTGAATACTGTATATGGGAAATGCATGACTTTCATCTATTATTTAGAAGAATTGCTGAATTTTATTATGCATTTTCCTTCTGCAGGCAAAACAGAATCCCCTAAAAACTATTCTAGAACTCATAAATTCAAAAGGTTTGTGTCTCTTTGGAAAACAGCTCTTCTCTTTAAAAGATTTGGAATTTACCCTGATCTAATTAGCAAAATGCAAGCTACGTATGTAGTTTTATGAAGCTGTATTCTTTATACTAGTTTGTAATCAGTAACATGGCTTCGCCCATGCAGCATAGCTTACTCCCTTGCACCACTAATAACTCATTAAAAATTCTTCACGCCCTACAAAAAAAATCCCACAGCAACAGTCTCTGGACCACCAAATTTGTGAAATCCCCCACCCCAAAAAAATCCTTACACTTCAAGCAGCTAAACTCTTCAAACAGAACTATTGTGATGATACAGGTCCCTTGCCAGATTAATTTGATTATAAAGGCACCAGTCTCCTCTCTGCTTCCCCCCAAAACCTATCTTAGTCCTCAATTGGGGGGGAGGACTCCCTATTTCTGGCAGAACTGGAACGTAAAGACAGGATTACGTGGCTTGAAATAATGTAAAACAGTATCTCCCACCCAAGAAAACATCTTCGCAGTTTGTCCACTACACCACAGTTTTCCAGTTAGCACAGTTTATGAAAATACATCTTCCAGAAACTGCCCTCTGTTATTTGCTGCTTGTGATCTGTGAGGAATCACCATTGCAAGTCTTCTCTAGCTGGAACCTGTTGAATTAAAAAAAACCTAATCTCACATTGCAGTTTTGTGATCATTGACAAAAGTTCAGATGAGACAGGACCAAAAATGTTTGGCCTTCACTATAGGCTTGCCCATTGCCACAGGTATTTATCCACAATGAGAAGACCATTTGACTTGACAGAACACTTTCTGCCCAGGAAGAGTAGCAACGGTGGCTTGTTACAAGAGCAGCAAATACCTGGGCCACAGCTGAGCCATGCTTCAGCAGCGCAGCTCGTCTTTGCCTCCCTCCCTGGAGGATTGCGAGACTCTAAGTCTCACGAGAATATCCTGGGAGGAGAGGGGGGAACGATGGGCTATTTAAGAGCTGTTCCTCCCTCTCTCCTCCCTCTTCCTTGGCTGGCAACAATCATGGACAGAGTTTCTTCTTGGCTTATTGCTTTTTCACCGCATATTTCCTACAAGGCCTGCATAGCCTGGAGTTCAGGACGGGGAGTAGAATAGGCTCCCCCCAGTGGTTCGATTGATCCTTATTTGATCCTTATTTGATTACATTAATTGCATTGATTAGCATAATTAATTATTTATATTTAATTAATTGATTCATTGTACTAATCTGCAATTTGGCAAGGAAAAGGGGGGTGCGGGGTGTGGCTTGTACATAGCGTGATTGGATATTTTGTATTGAAGGACATTTGCCTTGGGCTTTCCTTGGAATAGTCTTTGGGAGGTTTTCAAAAAAGGAGAGAAAGGACGCTAAACAGTCCTAAGAACGAGGCAAAAACATACCGAGGGAGCACCGGGAAGTGATCTCATTTTAGCAGTTGATAGGGCACCTTATTGCTGTGGGGTTTGGGTGGATAGCAGGCAGCTGCAATGCGGCAAGGCCATTCAGATCTTCAGCTGTTTGGCACTCCGCTTTACATCCCCCCTCACTCCTCCCTCTTTCATAGGGAAAGGGCTGAAGCTCTTGCGCAGCACAAATTGAACTTGCACCATTTGCGTGGCAGTTGGGTGTAGGCATGCTTATATATTGAATCACAGAGGAATTTTATTAACTTCTAGTCAACTGAGATATCATATTAGTCACAGTAACTATAATAGTGGTGGCGCTGCGGGCTAAACCGCAGAAGCCTGTGCTGCAGGGTCAGAAGACCAAGCAGTTGTAAGATCGAATCCACGTGACGGAGTGAGCGCCCGTCGCTTGTCCCAGCTCCCGCCAAACTAGCAGTTCGAAAGCATGCAAATGCAAGTAGATAAATAGGGACCACCTCGGTGGGAAGGTAACAGCGTTCCGTGTCTACGTCGCACTAGCCATGTGACAATGGAATCTGTCTTCAGACAAACGCTGGCTCTATGGCTTGGAAACGGGGATGAGCACCGCCCCCTAGAGTCGAACACGACTGGACAAAAATTGTCAAGGGGAACCTTTACCTTTACCTAACTATAATAGTAATAACTAATTAATTATAATTCATTTATAGGACCATAGATATATTTTAAAATGTATTATAATTACATAAATAGGTAATTAATTCATTGAATAATTTTAAATTTTTAATTGGTTTAATTGATTGATAATACAGTTTGATACATCAGTTTAATTACAGATATAGACACGTAGTTCAGTCCCAAGTAATAGTTTGTAAATCTTGGCTATTAATTGGTTGTAATTAAGTAATTTTTTCTAAGAGCCAATATAATTAATTCATTAAATTAGTGACTCTATTACAGCATACATAGCAGGAAGGAAAGTACATCCTTGCACTTCTGTGCTTCATAGGGGTAACTAGCTGGTGCTCCTTTTTATTAAAAAATAAACCCCGCCCTTGGAGTGTTTAGTAACGGCAAGGGAGGGGAGCGTGAAAACAGCGGGTCTCTCGCCTGCTTCTCCGTCAGTGAAGGGGGGAGGGAGGGGGGAGCAGGCAAAAAGGCGGGAAACAGAAAGCCTCGGTAGTGCTGTGTGTTTGCCTCGGTGGAGTGTTTAGTAACGGCTGCCAAAGGGAGCGTGAAAACAGCGGGTCTCTCGCCTGCTTCTCCGTCAGTGAAGGGGGGAGGGAGGGGGGAGCAGGCAAAAAGGCGGGAAACAGAAAGCCTCGGTAGTGCTGTGTGGAATGTTTGCCTCGGACTACGATTCCCACAATTCCTCAGGCACCATGGCCCGTCCTCTGTGGCTATGGTGGCTGAGGGGGAGTCTGGGAGTTGTAGTCCAGGAACGTTATCTTCAGCGCTCTCCTTAAATCCAATTTAACACAGGGTGGCTCAATTTAAAAAAAAAAAGCTGAGGGAAGTGTTAAAAAAAATGTAAACCGCAGCATGCAAGCTGACCTAGACATGACTGTGTCCAGAACGAAGTTCTACAGGTGTTATTTTTAAAGGACGTCATTCAAGTGGCTTAACTCTCAGCAGGTCCAGCAACAGTGCCCAATGTGTCCACAGGAATGGAAGTTCAAGGAGTGACAAATTTATTTTATTTATTTATTTAATTTATATGCTGCCCACACTACCCAAAAGTCTCTGGGTAGTGGTCTCTGGGTAGCAAGGTTTCACCCTCTCCTCCTTTTGGATTTCATGTACTGTTTCTGAGGTTTTGTTCGGCTTTTACAACATTGACTATATACTATATCTGTCATCTCCAGAGTTACCCAGAGCAACGCTGAAGCAAGGAAAGCAAGTGGAATTACTCTTAATGCATAATTTCTGCTATGTTTTCTCCTTATCTTATGTACAGTTCTGCATCCTTATGCTATATCCCACTAGTTGTGAATTCAGGATAAGTAAAATGTAGGAAGATTACTCCTGCGTTGATGAGAAGGCTCAATATTGATTAGAAAGGCATCAATACTGCTTTTGATAGGTTGGAGCATGTAAACCTCATAATGGTTAGGATTCTGTCTTGGCGGATACCTGATTCCTGGAAGGCATGTGTTTTACCTGCATTAGAGGTTAAGAGAGCCATTTACCTGATTCCTGGAAGGCATGTGTTTTACCTCCATTAGAGGTTAAGACAGCCATTTTAAAAATATTGTAATAACAGCCTTTTGGGAACAAACATACTATTAGATTGCAATAATATATAACAAACTGCTTTTGTTGCCAAAAACTTGCCCACAGTATATGTGATGCCACATGTACAAGAGGTGGTTCCAGTAGCTGATGTGAGTCAATTTATTTATTTATTATGGCCTATTTCCATTTGCACAGGGATTCTTCCAGGCTCATCGCAGCTAGGAGTGCATGTTTTGTATCTGCAGCCAGAGCTGCATGATGAGATGATGGGATATGGCCAGCGGGGAAGGAAGGAATGTTCCTGACAATTTAAAAACCATACCCTATAATTATTTTAATGGAAAAGAAGGTTCCTACGCTAGTTCAGCTATGTAGCCACCCAGCCTAAAGACCAGCTGTTTTTGATGCTGCATCCTGGCTGTTGGGTGCCCAGTCCTTTCTCTGGTGTATGCCACCTCCGCCTGTGATGTGTAATCAGTGCCCCTTTATGCACCCAAAAGAGATGGTGGTTCCAATCTGTGACCTTTCTAACACAGTGTATACAAAAGCAAACTAATTGACAACTTTAACTGCTAGAAGAGTTATCCGGCAGGAGTAAAAAGCCACCATCGCATGTCAGAGCTTCTAAGGGAAGAGTCTTCTGCAACAAAGCATAATGTCAGACTCTTTAACAGCTAAGGTACAACACTGCAATTGATTTTAATGGAATTATGGCCCACCTCAGTTTTACAGGCCTCTCATGGTCTACCTGTAACGTTTACTAAACTAGAGTTATATGGGACTCCTGCATGCTTGGGTCTTTCATTCTGACAAATAGCCAGCCATTGAGCAATTATCGTTTTTGCGCAATTACCGTATTTGCCACCATTACTGCCTTCTGAGGCCTCCATTTTATTCAAGTAAAATGGGGCTACTTAGATACAGGGCAAATTTATTGTGAATGAGGAGAAATTCAATAAATCTGGCACTTATGTATGTCCAATTTATGTCCCCAATATGTATACTAAAGGTTACTTAGCAAATAGTAAAGATAATGTTATTGAAGTACTGTATTCTGCTTCTGGTCAAAAACAGTCTAAATTGTCTAATAGTCTTATCTCAACATTTTAAATTTGTATGAATTTTATCTATGTTTCATATATGTTTATAAGTTTCCAGAACAACCCTGGGGCTCTGGAACATTTCCACATGAAGCTTTTCTGAGCCCAGAGGAACCTCTATATTGCTGGCTTCTCGTTATTGGCGGCCTTGTGAGTACTGGCAGGGGCAGGGAAGGGGAGCTTACGAACTGACTTGATAAGATATTGGTGACTTGAACAAGCTCTCACTCCTTCCTTGCCTCTAATTTGGGAAAAGTCTGTTTCCTGTATTATTTCACACCAAAGGTTAGAAGAATTTTTAAAAATCAATGAAGACTCTCTTACATGGGAGCATCAAAATCCAGCTGTAAAGAAAGGTGGACTGTCAAGGAATGTTTCGACAAAACGTACAGTATCTGACCGGCAATCCCACCAATGAGGAAGTTACTGGGATGATGCCGCTCATGATGAATAGAAAACTGGGTCATCTACTGAGCACCCATTTGTATCTGCTTGGCATGCCCTGTGGGGCAAGAGAAGCAGCAGAACAATTAACATTGGAAAGCTGAGCTTCTCTCTAAGTTCACTGACTCCCAGCTGTGTTTGTCTATGTCTCTTGTCAGTGAGATCAGCTTAACCTAAAATGGGTGACTGCCAAGATTCCCAGTATAATTCATAAAAACAAGGGTACGGTTCTGAACATCAACTGGCAATCTTTGAATGACAACTGAGCCGTGGCTGTTTTGGCAACAAAGCCGAACAATTCCTGGTGCCCCTGAGTTCTTGTCCCGAATTTGAATAGTTTAAGGGGATGATTTTTAATAAATTTGTGGCATTATTATTGAATGGGGTTCTTTTTTTACAGTCACTTCTTGAAAGCTGTTGATACTTTGGCGGTTAGTAATAATTACTGTAATTAGAGATTTGCAGGAAAAACAACCACCCTTGTCTAGTTTTGCCTTTAAGCGGCACAATTCATAATTGCTGTTCAGATGTTATTTTGGCTGTTATTTTCTATATTCTGGAGTGTTGCGTACTTGGGGGGGAGAGCTCATTAGGCCTCAATTCCCTGTGAGCTAAAACTCTTTGTTCATGAACACTATGATGCATTTACTTTACTTTTTCCCTCTTGTATCAGGAGTTTGATCTACTTGCTAAGTCCAACTAAAGTACACTCAGTGACATGTCAACACTTAAATAACTCCCCTTGATTCAATGGATTTCCTCTGGGAAAGATAACAATTGGATTCGACCCAAGGACAATTTGAGAACAGCTGAAGAGATGTCCTCATGGATTATGCACAGGAAACACAAGAAGGTTTCTAGTATAACATGGACTGATGTCTCAAGAGAACATAGCTCTTATGTTATCTTGCTTTAGTTGGTCTGCATCGTTTACAATAAACTTAGAAAATAATTGCTTAACTTTGAACTGTCTTGTTCTGACTATGGAGTAATGTAGGAAAAGGACGACACAGTCAAGAAACAATTTTTCTTCTTTATCAATATATGTAAACTGTTTAGAAAATAAGCTTTTAAAGGTGTGCACCGCAATAATGAAACAGCCTATTCATACAGTACACAAAATGGCAATAAAATATTCACAGCAAACAAACATTTCTTTTATTTATTATTTCATTTCAATATGCTGTTCCTGCTGGGCAGTTGTACAAAGTGGATGTGTTAAGGAAGTCCCTGAGATAAATACGAGGATAAACTAGGCATATGTAACGTCTCCCAAGAAAAACTGCAACATTCAAATGAGGAATATTTTGTCCCACTCTATGCTGGTCCCTAGTCTGAGAAGACCCAAATATGGGGAAAGGCAAGTCAAAAGAGTCAGCTACAGAAGGACCCACTAAAACGAACAGCCAGGGCAGGGAGATAAGAAGGCAGGGAAGGCAGATCAGTCCAATATCAATCCAAACACCAAAGCCAAGTCAATGTCTACTAGAATTGACAAGCAGAATCCAAAGGCAGAATCCAGTAGACAGGTACAGTTCAAAGAGTACCTCCATCCAGCTGAGAACTTTACTGAGGAAGTTCAAACTGGGCTCATCCCTTCCATTTTCTCTCCCCCCATAAATTGGGCAGGTGTCCCACCTCCTAAACTGCTCACCAGAACACACCAAGCATTTGATAGCTCTGGTGGATATGGATTCCACCCCAGCCCCATTGGTTATGTCAACTTGGATAGATAGTAGACACCCTGAAAGCTGCATGTATTCACATCCTGTGGTTCTCCAGAATGAAATAACTGGGAAGGCTGTGCTTTATATAAAAAATAGGTGATGGAGGGGAAAGTGTCATTGGTAGAGAAACTAAACAGGCTCAATCTATAAAAACAATAATATAAACATTTGAAGGACACTCAAATATCAAATCAAGACTTTTAATGTACCTTCTTCATTGAAATAAATCACTAGGCTGCATTATTGACTAATATGCTACTAGAATGTATTCAACATATTACTGAGTTCTATGCACTGTGGTTAACTCATTGTTAACACTATATACTGAACCTGTCATCTTGATTCCAGTAGCTCTGTAGGAAAACTTCTAAAGGTGCTCTTAGATATTTAAAGTCTTTTTCCTTATTAGCTGTCCCTTGTGTTTTAAGTCAGGCATGAGCAAAATAATGTAACATTTGGGGAAGAAAATGCAAGCTAGCAATCCAACACCAGAAGCTAAGATAGAGAAGATCTCCACAGCTACCATGTATTTTCCCTTGGTGCTCAGGTAGGTTGGAACAAAAGACAACCAAACACTGCAAAATACCAACATGCTGAAGGTGATGAACTTGGCTTCATTAAAAGAATCAGGCAACTTCCTGGCTAGGAAAGCCACCAAGAAGCTGGTAAGGGACAGAAGTCCCATGTAGCCCAAGACAACATAAAGCAGGACACCAGAGCCATCAAGACATTCTAATATGATTTCTTCACTTAGGGACTGCATGTCCAAATGTGGAAATGGGGGAGAGGTAGATAGCCAAACCGTACAAATTGCAGCCTGAATAAAGGAGAAGAACAGGACAATGGAATGGGTGAGTCTTTTCCCCAACCATCTCCGCATCTTAGACCCTGGCTTGGCAGCCATGAAAGCTACGACCACAGTGATGGTTTTGGCCAATACGCACGAAACAGCCACGGAGAAGATGATGCCAAAAGCAGATTGCTGGAGAAGGCAGATCACTTTGCCAGGTTGCCCAAGAAAGAAGAAAGGAGAAAGAAAGCAGAAGAGGAGAGAAATTAGGAGAATGTAGGTGACCTCCCGGTTGTTGGCTTTGACGAAGGGAGTATCATTATGCTTAATAAACAGTGCTAGTACCAAGATTGTGATCAAGGAGAAGGAAATAGAGAGTGAGACTAGACCAATTCCTAAGGGTTCTTCATACGAAAGAAATGTCAGGGGTTTGGAGATGCATCTATCTCTAGTTTTGCTTGGATATTCATCCTCTGGGCATTTGAAACATTCATCTGTATCTGAAAAAGGAAAGTGGACCCATTTCAGGTAAAATATAATCCCATATGACATAAATCATAAAAGCACTGAATCATTAAGTTGAAAGGGCCCTATAAGGCCATAAAGTCTAATCCTCTGTTCAATACAAGTGACATCATAGTGTTTATTATTCAGAATCGCTGAGTAGCATTTCAGTGGCAGGAAACTTGAAGATGGATAACTATGTTAGAAGGAAAAGCATTATTCCAGTTTTATCACTCATCAGGCAACACAGAGAATTACAATCTCTTTTCACACCTGACATGATCCATGATGGTTTATGGACTTGGGTGTATATCAGCTGCATGTACCTATCACTTACACATAAATGGATTTGCTCACAGCACTTTCGACAATTATATTTAACATTATTCCCTTCCTTGTACTTTCCCACCCCACCTTGTTGTTGTTTAGTCGTTTAGTCATGTCCAACTCCTCGTGACCCCATGGACCAGAGCACGCCAGGCCTTCCTGTCTTCCACCGCCTCCCAGAGTTGGGTCAAATTGCAGAAAGTGAGGAGGAATTTGAGAACCTCTTAATGTGGGTGAAAGAGGAGAGCGCAAAAAACGGTCTGGAGCTCAACATCAAAAAAACTAAGATCATGGCCACTGGTCCCATCACCTCCTGGCATATAGAAGGGGAAGGTACGGAGGCAGTGACAGACTTTACTTTCTTGGGCTTAATGACCACTGCAGATAGTGACAGCAGCCACGAAATTAAAAGACACCTGCTTCTTGGGAGGAAAGCGATGACAAACCTCAACAGCATCTTAAAAAGCAGAGACATCACCTTGCCAACAAAAGTCCACATAGTCAAAGCTATGATGTATGTCAAATTAGGGGAACAATTGGCCTCCATCCACTCTTTTTTTTTCTTTCAGAAATGCAGAATGTGATGAATCACCTACCTTTCTGGTTGGAAACCTGCCCTTCTGGGCAAGGAGAACAATCATAACAGCAGAACTTCTCTCCTTCCTTCTTTTTTTTCTGAGAACCAGCATAACATGAGTCACTACACACAGAAAGGGGAGGCACCTGTTCATAAACATTAAAGGATATTAGAACGGAAGGCACACTGCAACATCAGCTATTCTTAGTGGAAGGAATAATGATAATCATTAGAGATGGGGATGACTCCGCATTTTGGCCAGTTGTCCCACTTCGTGAGTTGTCAAAAGTTGAGGATTCACGAAGCACGTAGTTGCCCCCATGAAGCGATGAATAACAAAGTTATTAGTTCATTCATGGGGGGGGATTAAAAAACACCCCGCAGCCCCGTTATTATTACAAAGAAACCCCGCCATTCTGCCTACTGCCGTCCATCAGCTGCTCAGTGGCAGATAGGCAGCCACACCACCCAAAGCCACCCAACCCCACAACCTACTCCACCCCTTCCTCTCCCTACCTTATCCCCCACCCCACTCCCACCAACACTCCCTTCCAATTAAAAAAAACCCCAAAACACAATTTTTCCTCCCTGCCACCGATCAGCTGATTGGCAGCCGATAGGCAGCCACCCACTCCCCACAGCTACCCACCCCAACAGCCTACCCCACACATGACCTTCTTCTCCCTACCTTAGCCCCCACCCCACCTACACCCCCTTACCTTAATTGCTGCTGCTGAGGTCTCCTTCTGGCCTTCCAGCCATGGCATGTAAAAAGGGAGACTGGCTGCCCTTTGCAAAGATGGGGGCTGTGGCTTCATTTAGAGTAGGGAAGCTGCAGCTGCCATCTTTGCAAAGGGCAGCCTGGATTACTTTTTTTGGGGGGGGGTAATATGAAGGATGAATAAAAACAGATAAATATTCATCCCTTCGTATTTGTTGGGGTCTCTGGAACCCATGAGTATGAAGGGACAAATATTTAACAAATTGGCTATTTTCATCGAAAAAGCTGATCCGTTTTTATATTCGTCCCCATCTCTAATAATAATACATCATCAAGCTATTTAAAATGTAGAGACATTTTAAGAATATTAAAGGAGAATATTAAAAACAGATCTAGTTCTTAGTGAGATATTTTGCCAAGAATATGTCAGAAATAGTCAGATGTCTCACTGTCCTATAAAAATATGGGCTTGATCTTATTTTTCCAAACTTTTGTGTTTACTATTATTTGCCTGTTTGTTTGTGTAATTGTCAAGCTCAGCAGATCATCTAGTACAGCAAAAAATGTGTCATTTTGTGCACCTCTCTGTCTGTCAGTCGGTCAGTCAATCTCTCTCTCTCTCTCAAAAAAAAAGTCAGTTTCCTGGATGTGTTTAACTTAGTGGAAAGCTTCAGCCAAATAGAGACAACACAGAGCTTTTTGGGGCTCATAAAACTCTGGAGTAGGGAGACTTTCTGGCTTCCACAGTGCTCAGCTAAAATTAATCAAAGCATAGAAAACATTCAACAGATTTTACTTGCACAGGACACATAAATTTGTTTCCAAATATCATTAGAAGGGACACTTAGAACTTCAAAATGACATATCTTCATTTTTCAATTGAAGGTATGGTGCTCCCAGCATGACACATTCTAATCACCCCTAAGAGAGTCTGTCCAGCCCACCGACAATCTTTCCTTCTACCCTGTCCCTTAGTCCACACACCTCCTTAAAATATCTTTGCCACACAATCATGTCCTCATCAATGACAAATTCATTTCCTTCATTGGGACCAACCCAGCCAACTTTCACCCGGTGGAAAGAGTTGTTTGGGAATATCAGCATATTGATGATGTCAAATCCACCAATGATTTCCTGCTGATCATTAAAAGATACTTCTTCACCAGCAGAGTTGTTAAATGAAATATGATGAAGAAATGGCTGAAGCTAATGAAAGAGCATGAAAGAAAGAAAGAAAGAAAGAAAGAAAGAAAGAAAGAAAGAAAGAAAGAAAGAAAGAAAGAAAGAAAGAAAGAAAAAGAAGGGAGGGAGGGAGGAAGAGAGGGAGAAAGAAAAGAAACAGAAAAGCACATTTTAGGAGGGAGGGAGGGAGGGAGAAAGAAAAGAAAAACAGAAAAGCACATTTTAAGCATGAACCTCATATATTAAAAATATACCAACATTCAATGCCCTGCAAGTAAAGCTTTATAAAATGCCACCTTGCAAAGATCCGCTTGAAAATGCAAGTACTTTTAATCCTACTCTCAATGCCTTGGTACAGATAGTCCTGGAGCCTTTGGGGAAGAAATAAAAAATAGGTGTCTCTGAGTCCATTGGCAGGATCTCAGCACCTTCTCAACACCTAGGTATTTCCCAGCACCTTGGCATTTAGCCACAAAGGTAAACTTGAATAATGAACTGAAGGTTATGGATTCATAGATTTTTAGGATTGGGAAGACCCTTAAGCCCAAGTCACTGCTAAAATTGCCATTACCTGCCAAGGCTGGAGGTCTTGAAGTCTTCTATTCCACATCTCTCCTCTCTGGCTGAATCTAGAAGAATCCATGACATTCAAAGCGTGTGCCACAGCATAGACAGCATTATAGATGCCATAGCTGGGGCCAGTCATGTCCATTTCAAAAGCAGCCTCAGGAAGACTTTCTAGTCTTTCCTCTCCAGTACATAATTTACTCTCCTCTTTTGGCTCAATGAGATCTGGAAATGAGCAGTCAAAAGCTTGTTCCCAGAATTCCCTGAGAAAGCTGTTGCCTTCTGCCAGAGAAGGCTGCATGTTCTGAAGGTATGTATGAAACTTCTGGTGTTTACTTGAGTGAACTGTGAAAGCAAGGTTCCCATGGAACATTTCAAAATTCCAGTGAATGACGAGACCGTGTAGTGCAAAATCAAATTTGGCTGTCATGATCCAAACTTTCCCCGTACTTGTATTTTCCATATATTCAGCATTTGCTAAATTCATTAACATGCTCAACCACATCATGGTCAGTGTTTCTCCATACATAATAAATGTACTGGTTTTTGCCTCCATTAGAGGTAGATAATTGGTCATGCTTTGTATTTCGGCAACAGAAGGCAAGTATGTTCGGTTTGGTATTCTTTGTATGAAAGCTGAGCAGATCTGATTTTGGTGAAGTAAGGGCTCCATAACATTCAAGAAATGTTCTCCACTATGATCAGCCACAGCAAGTAGGCCAACCCATGTCCATCCAAAATGCAGGAGCAACCGGATTATCCCCACGTACTGAACAGCTTCATTTGGGACCATGTGATAAGAGAAAGCCACCTGTCTTGTATCCTCTTCGAAGAGAAAAGAACCATAGGTCAGCTAAAGGAAAATGTACAGATATATTAAGGTTGGACCATGTGGGTATATCTGTTTATACGGGTACGTACTAAACCGCATGGTTAACAGAGATGAGAATTATACCCTGTTATAAATCCAAATGCAAGATCTGATCCCACATCAGTTCTAGCAACACAACTGCAGTCACACACAACATCAGGGACATGTTTTCTTGTTATCTGCTAATGCTATCTTCTATGCCAATCTTTTCCAGCCATTCCCTTCTGCACTCTATATAAGATGAACAGGACAACCTTTATGGCAGTGGTTCCCAAACTGCATGCTATGGCATCCTGGAGCACCATCAACCCAGCCAGGGAGGCCAATAAATCCTCTCATCCTTTGCCACCACCCTCTCCCTCTCCTTGGCTGGCAGGTCTCCCTATGTGCCCGGGCACAGACCCTGGGTAAACTCCTCCCCTGACTCCAGCCACCTGCCTGTGGAGGAAGAGAAGAGACAGATGATGTTGATGCTGCTTTTGCATCAGGGAGGCTCCGGAATGGAGTCAAAGCACTGATGACTCAAAAATGTTTGGTAACCATTAGGTAAGGTTCCCCTTGACATTTAGTTCAGTTGTGTCCGACTCTAGGGCGCGGTGCTCATCCCAGTTTCCAAGCCACAGAGCCAGCGTTTGTCTGTAGACAGTTTCCATGGTCATGTGGCCAGTTCAACTAGACATGGAATGCCATGACCTTCCCACTGAGGTGGTACCTATTTACCTACTTGCATTTACGTGCATTCAAATGGCTAGGTTGGCAGGAGCTGGGACAAGCGACGGGCACTCACTTACTCCGTCGTGTGGATTCGATCTTACGACCGCTGGTCTTCTGACCCTGCAGAACAGAGGCTTCTGTGGTTTAGCCCACAGCACCACCCACGTCCCTTTGGTAACCATTGCTCTATGCAAAAGAATTAAAGAACTGCCATCTGCCATCAGAAAGGGCAACACACACAAAACTTTTGAAAAATTTGAATCTCACTATGACTGTCTTTAGAAGAAAATTTGTTCAGAACTAGCCTGGAAAGAGAAACACCTTAGGGAAGAGATATATACAGATATATATCAAACACACTCGAAGGGATGAAATATCGGTCAAGTTCCTAAGTTATTACAAAGTGTGAAGTCCTACCTTGATTACCATGGTTTGCAATTTGTGTCAACAATGCTATTGCTACCTTGTGGACTCTTAATGATAATTATACATAGTTGGTAGTCCTATTTCTTTCCTAATGAATCACTCTCACTTTCTCCGTTATCTGTATCCTCAATTGGTCATGTGGCTGTGTATAAATATGACAGTCCTATAGCTTCACGGTTGTGTCAGAGGAAATGGATTTGATTCACAACAAATTTAGCAGCTGGTCTTTAAGGTGCGACTTTTTTGTTGTAACAAATTTAGCAGCTGGTCTTTAAGGTGCCGACTTTTTTGTTGTGTTGTCCATATCTCTCTCTCTCTTTCTGTCTCTCTTTGTTCATTCGTTTCCTTTTGTGAATATCCAGACTTCCCCACACAGCGATCTTACCTGAGGAATCTTGTAGAGACCTGAGATCAACCCCATGTGGAAGGAAATGTCAGAGCCAAGTGCCCCAACAATGGCTACTAATTTCTCCTGAGGGGCACATTCATAGTTGGGAACAAATCTGTCTGATGTGAAGAGTAGACCCAGCGTGGTGCGGTAGATCATTCCCTTACTATAGTAGCTGTCATAGATGTGGAACCCAAGTGTGATGTTGGGCAAGATCCCAGGATCTTCATTGATCTCCTTGACAGCAAATGCAAAGGCCAGAACATGCTGGTAGAACTTGGTCACCATGCTGGAAAGAGGAGAGAAAAGTGAACTGTTTCACAAACAGTTTTGCATTTCATGTTGGCACCGGGGTGGTTTACTGTCAGAAGGCAGTCAGATTGTCAAATGATCCCATGCAAACATTTATTTATAATTTATTTATTTATAATATTTTCCCCCCACCTGACTCCTTTAAAAGGAGCCCAAGATGGCTTACATAATTAGAAGATGATATTTAAAGGGGAAGGCAATAATTATTCACCAGTGGTGTACATCATTAAACAACCATATTTAAAGTGAGAACAATGAGAATAAAGAGACAGCATACCTCCTTAAAAGACACTACTAGAGCTAAAAACAGTAAGCATACAAATATTAAAAAGGAAAAAACAAATATCACTCTGAGCAATGGAAAGGTAAAGGTAAAGGTTCCCCTTGACATTTAGTCCAGTCGTGTCCGACTCTAGGGTACAGTGCTCATCCCCATTTCCAAACCGTAGAGCCAGCGTTTGTCCGTAGAGCTTCCGTGGCCACGTGGCCAGTGCGGCTATACACGGAACACTGTTTACCTTCCCATCGAGGTGGTCCCTATTTATCTACTCGCATTTTTAACATGCTTTCGAACTGCTAGGTTGGCAGGAAATGGAAAACACAGGTAGAAATAAGACCAAGAGACACCACCACTCCCAAAGACCCAACATAGATTACTTTTGTCTTGTTGCTTTGAATGGAATAGAATTCATTATTTTATGGATGCTTCAATTGACCTCATGAAAAACATATCCACATGTCCAATTGTGGGGATGAAGGACAGGTGGACCAGCAGTCCAGCAGAGCTTATAGGAAGCCAGTCTATGATCTCATAGCTAAGCTTACTCTGTTATGAAAAGGAAAGGAAGACTGCTAGATATCTCAGTGGTTTAGGTCTCTGGCTACAGACCCAGATATTGGGAGTTCAATTCCCCACCGTGCCTCCTTGACAAAGGCTGAAAGGTCCCTTTCAACTCTTCCGTTCTAAGATATTATTATCGTTGTTGTTATTAGGAGATTCACTGAGCAGCAATGACTGGGAAAGAGATTAATGTGTTCGTCCAGTTTTGGAAGCCCCGTTCTTGCATTCATAGGTACCACAACTGACATGATAAAAAGGAAGATAAAGAAATGATAGCTCCTTACACGGGAAAATCAATACCTAGTTCACGAGAAGGGTGATCCTGGAAGGAAAGTTCTTGATAATGGTAAAAAATCTGAGAAACCATCCCCCCAATGAGGAGAGGGCCAGGACGATACCATTCATGCCGAACAGGAAGTGGGTCGCTTGCCCGGCAGCTTCTCATATCTCCTTTCCTGTCCTACACAACAAGAGCAACACACGTAAATTTTCCATCTGATGGCTAGAGGAATGCACTGCCTTCTGCCCTCAGTGCCAGCCGAATTAATATCATTAGCCTAATAAAAAGATAACATGGATCACTACGGTTTCTCCACTGAAACGTCATAACAGATGTGTGGTTTCTAACACCAACTAGTACGGAAAATCAGGTCTCTTTACGACACCAAGGTGGAACAGTCTCAGAGCCAAAAACTCAACTGTGACAGGGAGGAAACATCAGAAGCCCAGGCCTGAATTTGGTCCCTTTGCTGCATCTCAGAAGGATTTATTTATAACCATTTTCTGACATCCTTATTGAATGTTTTTGTCATCTTCTTCTTCTGGAAACCTGCTCAAGCTTTCTCGGGGATTAGTAATTACGGTAATTAGACTGTTGCAAGGAAGACAGCTATCTTTGACTACTTGGTCTCCAAGCAGCAAGGTCACCAGAAAAGATTTTTTAAAAAAAAAAAAATCCTTCCATAACTTTATGTGACAACAAAGAAGTCACAAATTTAGGTTGCTCCGAGTGAGCGAATACAAGGCCATGCTAGGCCTTGGAAAAGGACAGCTTAGAACCTTGTTTGGGACCCAATTGCATTCCTTTCAACCAGAGTTCATTTTTCAACCTGAGGGAAATTTAGAGGCTGAGGCAAAGAGGGTGCCCTGCTCTATATGCACAAACTGACTGAAGTGATAGTTATTTAAAAAAAAAAGCTGGGGTTTGGCCACAATAGCTTGTCAGCATCTGTCTCTTGAAACATTGGCTTCACTCTGCCCCATGATAGGGCCGGCCCTGGGGGTCTGTCTGTACATGTAAAACGCATCCTAAAGAGCATTTCCTGAATATGTTCTTTTGGCAGGCTTCCAACTTATGTCATGAGGTCTTTGAGTAAAATAATTGTTTTCTTGACCAGGGAATGACAGCAAGGGAGAGAAAGAAAGACTTACTTATTTGATAAATAAATAAATAAATAAAGAAAGAAAGAAAGAAAGAAAGAAAGAAAGAAGGGAACTCATAATGGGAGCTGGTGCAACTTCCAGATTATCCTGCAGACAGAAAAATGGCTCCTTACTCTCACGTCACACACACTCTTCTACTGGGCATAAGAAACCACGCCCCCTCAGATTGCAGGTTTTAGAAGAGGAGGCTGGAGAAAACTGAAAGAGCCATGCAGACTACCACATCTCCTTCTCCCACCATGCTAGCTAGCCTGTGTTGCCCAAAGGAAAGTATGCCACTCTGAGAAATGGGAAACATAGATAGCGTTAAATATGCAATCAAAACAGTAACACATTGTTTTTGTTTAGTCGTTAAGTCGTATTCAACTCTTTGTGACCTCATGGACCAGAGTACACCAGGCCTTCCTGTCTTCCGCTGCCTCCCAGAGTTGGGTCAAATTCATGTTGGTCGCTTCGATGACCCTGTCCAACCATCTCGTCCTCTTTCGTCCCCTTCTCCTCTTTCCTTCACACTTTCCTAACATCAGGGAGTCGAGTCTTCTCATGAGATGGCCAAAGTGTTGGAGCCTTCACTTCAGGATCTGTCCTTCCAGTGAGCACTAAGGGCTGATTTCCTTTAGAATGAATAGGTTTGTTCTCCTTGCAGTCACCGGTGATGATATAGAAGGTTAATATTGATGACTGATGAACCTTGAAGAATGTGTTTATGAATTATTCCAGAAACCATCTGTAATTAATAAATGTGTTCTGTTGAAATGTCAGTGCAGTACTGGATGGAATTTCGTCTTTTATAATTAAAAATAAGTTGATGTAGAGAGCAACTGGTGGCAGCGTGTCAGAGGGCGTGTGGAGGTACCTTGTTGAGCTCTTTGTTTGGAGAAAAAAGCAGGAGCCACGAGGCCGAACGCCACAGCCAGGTGTGGTCTAAAACCACATGTAAGAAGAAATTCCCCACTCCGTGATCAGGACTATGCCACAGCTCCTCTTAGTCTTGCTGAAACGATTCACACTCAACACCAGTGAACAGCTCTGTTTATTGCTGTGCACCCTGTTCCTACAAGTGCCCTCCACCCTCACTCCCACCCCCAAGACTCCTCTTTGTCTTCCCTTCATGCCCTCCTCTGTGTCCATCCCGTGGGCATTGGGCCTGTCATTCCTAAGCACAAACTGCTTAGGTAAGTACTGGTGCTCACCCCTGGTGGATAAGTGGAGCCTGGGTCAGGATCAGGACCTGCCCAGTTTCAGACTTTCTCATGATAACGATCTCAAACGAGTTAAGTATAATAATAACGTTGGCATTGCAAAGCTGGAAGGGACCTGATGGATCATTGAGTCTAGCCCTTATCGAGGAGACGCAACTGAGGAATCAAACTTCCAATGTCTGGTTCCACAAACAGAGACCTAATCCACTAAGCTATCCATAAACACAGACTAGGTTCACTTGGAAAAGGACTTGAATCCACGGCATCCGTGTTAGTAGGTATGTCCCAGGTGGGAACGTTCATGCTTCCTGGTTGCAGGCCTGGGGATCCTTGTGGCCAAGTGTCCTCAGTGTGGTGTCTACTGTGTCTCTGCTATGCAGTAGGACCCTGGTGAGGGAAGGAGTTCCTGGAGCAGAAAAGGGGGTTCATTCCATCACCCTGAGTTGTTTAGGGTTTTAATACATGAACAACGAGGTCTTAAAGCAGACTCGGTAGTGAGCAGGTTAGCAGTTTGCTTCCTTGAATCCATGCTCACTGTAGTGGTCTCGCTTTTTCTTGTTGATTCATTTGGAAAGCAGCATTAGAACACAGAGCCATGATTCTACACTTTTTCACAACTCTACACTTCTTAACGAATTGACTGCCCTTCTTCCGTGGGAAGTTTCAGCCAGCAAAATGAACTCAGTTTCTTCCTGTGGAATTCTGAATGTACTTCTTTAGTTTTGAATGGCATATGAATGTTCTCCTTGGGTTGGCCTTCAGAGAGGGTTCAGAACTTCAGCTACTCCACAATTCTGTACGTAAATTGCTGAACATAAAAATACACTTTATAGATACAGGTAATGAAGTGGAAAGTGTCAGTGGTGGAGACTCATTGCCTATTTTACCAAGGCTAAACACGTTGCCAGCTTCAAACATAAGAACATAAGCAATTGAAGCATAATTAAATCTAACATTAGAAACTTTGATGTTCATTCTTTATTCATACAAAGCAGTAAAAACTCACTTGGTTATATTATTGAATGATAAACTGTTGGGATGAATTTGATGTATTACCATGTATTGTGTATGGTAGGTAGTACCTTATTAATGCTATGTACTATAACTTGCTGTTAGAACTGTTAGAATTACAACAAGCTTGATTCTAGTTACCACGTAGGAAAACTACGTATATAAGGTACTCTTAGATTACTCAAATCATTTTCCTGATTAGTTGTCCCTTGGGGCTGAAACTCATGTTTTCGCATAATAACATTTGGGGAAGAAAATACAACCCAGTAATCCACCACTTAAAGCTAAAATAGAGAAGATCTCCACAGCTACCCTGTATTTTCCCTTGGTGCTCAGGTAGGTTGGAACAAAAGACAACCAAACACTGCAAAATACCAACATGCTGAAGGTGATGAACTTGGCTTCATTAAAAGAATCAGGCAACTTCCTGGCTAGGAAAGCCACCAAGAAGCTGGTAAGGGACAGAAGTCCCATGTAGCCCAAGACAACATAAAGCAGGACACCAGAGCCATCAAGACATTCTAATATGATTTCTTCACTTAGGGACTGCATGTCCAAATGTGGAAATGGGGGAGAGGTAGATAGCCAAACCGTACAAATTGCAGCCTGAATAAAGGAGAAGAAAAGGACAATGGAATGGGTGAGTCTTTTCTCCAACCATCTCCGCATCTTAGACCCTGGCTTGGCAGCCGTGAAAGCTACGACCAGAGTGATGGTTTTGGCCAATATGCATGAAACAGCCACGGAGAAGATGATGCCAAAAGCAGATTGCTGGAGAAGGCAGGTCACTTTGCCAGGTTGCCCAAGAAAGAAGAAAGGAGAAAGAAAGCAGAAGAGGAGAGAAATTAGGAGAATGTAGGTGACCTCCCGGTTGTTGGCTTTGACAAAGGGAGTATCATTATGCTTAATAAACAGTGCTAGTACCAAGATTGTGATCACGGAGAAGGAAAGAGAGAGTGAGACTAGACCGATTCCTAAGGGTTCTTCATACAAAATAAATCTCAGGAAGGAAATTAATGTGAATTAAGAATTGAAAATAGAATCTGGAATATCCTGTTGAAATATTGTTTTCCACCTGTCTTGTTGTTTGGTTCCTTGAAGTCTTCAATGTGTTTCATGTTAAAAACAGAGAACGTTTATGACGCTGATTTCACATGTGTCAGGAATCTTTTGCAGAGGTAGCAGAGGATAGTCAGGATCATAGATGGGCATGAATCAGAAAAACGGTGAATCATTTGGATTTGTGATTCGTCAGGGTTGATGAATCATGGATTACAATTTTTTGTTCCTGATGAATCAATAAATCAAATTGTTGGTTGATTTTTGACTTTAAAATAAAGCACCACCACCCCGCCAAGCACCTAAAGACACCAAAATGACAGGAAAACCTTCTCTGATTCTCTTTTATAATCGCTCCAAGTTTGGAGAAGATTGGGGTTCAGACATCCAGGTTGACCACCCATCAAGTGGGTCCTCCTTAGCAGCTGACTTGAGGAAATCCGATCTTCTCCAAACTTTGAGGGATTGTAGAGGAGAGTCGGGGGAAGCTCCTCTGTGACTTTGGTGTCTCTTGCTGCCTGGAGGGCCATTTTATAGCCCAATGAATCAACAAATAAAAAAATCACAAACATTCATTGATTCATATCATCAGGAGCATTGATGTGTATGAATAGGAATCGATGAATGAGGGATTTTTGAATGAATTTGGTAATTAGCTTTTTCATTCACACCCATCTGTACTCAGGAAATGTTCTGCATATTGGACATCTTTAAAGTTAGGACTCAAAACAGAGTCTTTAATCCTTGTGATAACTTCCTTAAAAGTGGAATTGAGTAGAGGTGGTGTTTTCATTTCCATTCAACTGTGCTTTTGCTTTCAAAATCACTACAACCACCTCATCTCCAGAGGCTATGTTTAATTAGTTTTTGTCTTTGTTGGCCATCTGGAAGAGATTTACAACTTTTCATCCTCTTAGGAAGCAGAAAAGTTTTTTCCCCCATATAGAAAAAACAGACACAAAATACCTGAGAAGTCCTCCCCACCCCCACCCCGGCCAAATCTCAAACTTCTTCAGGTCAAAATACTGAAGAAGTAATTGCTTCTCTTGGTAATTACTAAAATTACTGTAATTTGTTCAACAGACTCAGCCACTAGAGGATTTCCAGAATATTCTTGGAAGAGAATGAATAAACAAGTCTGAAAACAGTTATATTAAAAATATCCTACAATGGAATTGGAAGTTTGGAGTGGTGGGGGCCCATTTAGATCTAATTGTTTAGCTCAGAGGAGAGTTTGCTTCTGAAGGGAGGATTTGCTGTCACAGGAATGGGCTTCTTGGCATTGCAACCTTCGTTTCCCCTGCGCTGAATCCAAGGCAAGAAAGACGATGAGTTGTTCTGTGAAGGATCCCCTCCGCGTTCCTCATGAGTGGCACCAGCCCGGTGAAATCCTCATTGGTGTGATTCTTTCTCAAATGATTTACATTTTCCATGAAGCTTCCTTCAGGGAACATCCTTCTCTGGACCTTTTCGATGTCGTAAAGTAAGGATTCTTCTCTACCCTTCCTACTTGATCCTTTGCATTTTTTAAGCCAGGAAAATATACAATTAAAATTATGTTCATTAATAGTCAAAGTATTTTGAAATTCAAACTCTAGAAATAAGTCAATTAGGCCAGCTGAAGAGGTACAAACACATGTTTATTCAATCATGTCAGTGCTTAGATTGATCAGCATTCAGAAAACCACAAGCTTTTATCTGCCAATTTAAGGAGAGGAAAATAATATATCTTGATTTTCCTTCCTTCCTTCTATTCATCATCATTTCCTCCCTCCCTCCCTTGTTCTTTGAGGAAAATAATATATCTTGATTTTCCTTCTTTCCTTCATTCTATTCATCATCAGCTCCTCCCTCCCTCCCTTGTTCTTCTGCATTTTCCAAGGAAGATGCAATGTTGCACAGCAGTATAATAATTGCATATGGTGATGGCTTCTTATAGTAGAAAATATTATGATGAAAAAAATAGCTCACAGAAGGAAATCTTGCTGTAAAGAGAAAAGAAAGATATTTTTCTTGATTTTATAGTATGAATGAGAAACAAGAATCCCTAGATTGCTATGTTTCCCTTTTCAAAGTTTTGTTGAAGCAGGATGTTATATGCACAGATATTGAATGAATGAACCAGATTCTCTTTCAAGCACAGCAGAAAGCCTTCAGGCTGATCAGAACCCTTCTCATTCTGACCCTATACCAACATAAGCAACATTCAGCACCAGTGCACTCAACAACCTTTAGATGTGTTATTAATTGAGGAGGAAACATCTTGGTTTAAGCGTTAGAACTTTTGTTTGACTGTAGAATGCTTGTTGCAATAGTAAACTACCTCTCTTGGCAGCATGGTGACAAAATTCTACCAGCACGCCCTGGCCATGACCTTTGCCATCAGGGAGATCAACAAGAATCCCAAGATTTTGCCCAACATTACCCTTGGCTTCCACATCGTTGACAGCTACTATGAATCCAGAATGACTTATCGAACCACTCTAGACCTGCTCTTCAAGACGCAAAGATTTCTTCCCAATTATGAATGTGATGGAGAGAAAAATCTCCAAGCAGTCATTGGGGGACTGGGCTCTGACACCTCCTTTCTCATGGCTGACATCTTAGGGCTCTACAAAATCCCTCAGGTAGGATGGGATACTGGGATCTATGAGATCAATAGTGAGCTTTCGTGAGCCTGTTCTTCTGTTATTTCCTTTGCTAGTTCACGGAGGATGGAATGCAGGGATATATGAGATAGAGAACGTTCATGAATCCTTTATTCTGTTATTTTGACTGCAAGGTTATACTTCAGGGAAAGGTAGACAATACAGGCAAAGAAGTCAAGTTCATTTTGCAGAAAAGGAGAAGATGTAGCTGGAGGAATCCTTGTCTTTTCCAAATGTGTCAACATCTTTAGCCAATATTTCTTCCATGAATAGTGTGGTATAGTAGATAGAGTGTTGGACTAGGACTCCATTAAATAGAGTTTGAATCCTTACTCAGCCATGGAAATTCACTGGGGAAGTGAAACTGCTAAATCCATCCCTTAGTATCTCACTTCCCTTGAAAGTCCTAGTAGAGTCACTATGAGTTGGACCCGACTTGACAGAACAAAATACACTCAATACAAGAAAACATACTTCCAAATTATCACAGCCATGTCTGTGCTTTTTCTTATAGTTCACCTATGGCTCTTTGGATCCGGAGGTGATTCATACATCTCAGCACCCTTACTTCTACCATATGGTCCCTAGTGAAGACTATCAATACATGGGGATTATCCGGTTGCTTCAGCATTTTAGATGGATATGGGTTGGGCTGATCGTTGCAGATAATGAGAGTGGGGAACATTTTGTGCGAGCCATGGAGCCATGGCTTTCTGAAAACGGGATCTGTTCAGCCTTTGTCCAAAGACTGCCACGGCAACCTTATTTCGATGACCTGGATGAAACAATTCTGACAGTCTCTCGTAAGGTGTATGAAATTTTAGCCAATCAAAAAGCCCGTGTGTGTATCATCTATGGAGAAATCTCGACAATTGCTTGGCTAAGAATAATTACATTTCTGCGAGATCCGGAAAATAAAGGGTACTGGATGTATAGAAAAGTGTGGATCACGACAACCCAGATTGATTTCATGTTAACAGGATCACTAAAGCTTTGGGACCTTCAGATGTTTGAAGGTGCCATCACCTTTACTATTCACAGAAATGAGCTTGTAGAATTTGGAGGGTTTATTCAGCTCATCAAACCGGGCTGGAACCAAAGAGATGGTTTCCTAAAAGATTTCTGGGAGCAAGCCTTTGATTGTGTCTTCGGAGAAATGGTTCCTGACAATGAAAAATGTACTGGAGAAGAGACTTTGGCAAGTCTCCCTGTGCCTGTTTTTGACATTCACTTGACCGGACACAGCTCTAGTATCTACAATGCCGTCTATGCCCTGGCTCATGCTTTGCATGCCATCTACTCATCTAGGCTGGAGCACAGAACCACGGTAGAGCATCCAGAATGTGAACTTCAGAATCTTCAGCCTTGGCAGGTAACATCTCTAAGGTAAAGGTAAAGGTTCCCCTTGACATTTTTAGTCCAGTTGCGTCTGACTCTAGGGGGCGGTGCTCATCCCGTTTTCAAGCCGTAGAGCCAGCGCTTGTCTGAAGACAATTTCCGTTGCCACGTGGCCAGCGTGACTAGGGAACGCCGTTTTACCTTCCCACCGAGGTGGTACCTATTTATCTACTCGCATTTTTGCATGCTTTTGAACTGCTAGGTTGGCAAGGAGCTGGGACAAAGTGACGGGAGCTCACTCCGTTGCGTGGATTCGATCTTATGACTGCTGGTCTTCTGACCCTGCAGCACAGGCTTCTGCAGTTTAGCTTGCAGCGCCACCACGTCCCTTAATACAATTTTCCGAAACCCGGGATCAAACCAGCGACTTTTAGATCTTCAGTCTATCGCTCTCCCAACTGAGCTATTTCGGCTCTACAGCTTTCTAAACATCTCTACACCTTTCTAAATATTTTGATTAATAAATTGACACAAGGTCAGTTATCCATGAAGAAGTAAGAGGACTGTTTTCCTCTTCTTGATGGATAATTGATAATTTGGAACTATGAAATGTGTCTGATTGCTCTTTTAGAAATGGTGCATGAGATACAACTAATGTTCTCAATGTTTTAAGTGAGAGCTTTTATTATTAGTGCATGGGGGTGCAACAATGATCTTGCGCTGGCAGACAAAACGAATATACTATAAGGAAATTCTAAAAGTGGGAGAAGCCCAAACAAAAATTGTAATTTTAAAACTGGACTTCAGGTCAGCACCAAAAACAAGGAAGGCTAAAACATCCCCAGATTTAAAAGAGCTCATACAAATTGAAAAGACTGATCTTGTTTGTCTTGAAATAGAATGGTTAGGCTGTGCTATGAATCCAGGATGCAGGGCATGTAATATTGATTCTCAAATAAGCTGGAGGATGTATCATTCTCAAAAAAAGGAGGGAGAAAAATTGATTAACTTATAAACTGAGCATGTGGGACAGACTTACCAGTTAGAGTGTTCCAGAGTTGATGTATTGTAAATACATTGTTGTATCTTCATGCCTGAAAATTAAAGGGCATGAAGAGTCCAAAATCCAGACATGCTTTAAGGCAGTGGTCCCCAACTTTTGAGACTCCTTTTACAGTATAATGATCATGTAACCTGTGATTCCCCCACCATGTTCGCATAAAAAGGCATTTTTAATGGGGCAAAGTCATCCATTAGAGGCTTCTTTCTCCCCTACAGTAAGCTGATTTCCCTTTCTGAGGTTCATGACATCCAGGTTGGGCAACACTGCTCTAAAGAATGTAACGGAGTCATGGTCCACCAGAAAGGAGAACGTTTTGCCATGGAATTTGCGTAGAATTTTGAAAGACATACTCGAAGTGTTTCAGCTCAGATTAGCTGTGTTACTGCCAGCTTTCAGCAAACATTTCTGAAACGAGCCTTCTGACACCAGTTTTCAAAGGAGAAATAAGGTCGAGAGCCGGGATAATCTGAATTTTTGACCCTGTCAGTTAATGAGCTGATTCTTAGGAAGAGAATTTTAAATTCCTTTCTGGCCAAATAGGCACAATACCCCATATTCATAAACTGGAGGTTTTTTTTGATGAATCAGTCTTTTCCATCACATGCATGGACTTTAGTAGATGAAACATAAGGAATAATAACTGCATAAACCTGAGGAAGTATTCCATTCAGTGTATCCCATTCATAGACATCTCAAAGGGCAGAAGCTGTTGCACTGATCCGAAGAGGTGCCAAATATATCCCAGAAAAACTTCACTCCTAGCTTTAATTTCTCTTGTCTTTTATTCTTGTTTGTTCTGTTTCCCTTTTCTGCCAGCTTCACCCATTCCTGCAAAGGTTGTCATTTAACAACTCAGAAGGAGAAACTGTGTCCTTTAATGAGAAAAGGGAAATAAGTGGTGGATTTGACATCATGAACGTGGTCATATTCCCCAACAATTCTTTCCATCAAGTGAAAATCGGAAGGGTGGTTCCCGGCGCTCTTGAAGGAGAAGAAGTCGTGATCGATTGGGACAGCATAGTATGGCACCGAGGGTTTAACCAGGTATGGATTGTGGAGGGGGTTTTTACTTCCCTAAGGGGGTCATGTTGGTGAATGAAGTTTACTTTGCCTTCAGATCTCGTCAACTTGGTGTATTAGCCTCTAAAATAAAAACAATGCTATCAACCACTTTCAAAAACTAGAAGAAGTGTTGACTTCCCAAATATACCTTTCCCTAATTTGGAAACAAGATTAGTGTTACATTCGTTTCCGTAGAAGTAAATAGTTATTGTGCATCTCTTGAGTCTTGGTGAGTTATGAAGGTTTCCAGAGAAGATTAATTCAAAAGACCCCAGTTGGCCAACCTAGTTTCTGTAGGGTACTTGACTAGGAGCAATATTAGAGATCTCTTTGTGATGACCCTTCTCAACTGTGTTCTTTTTATGAACAGGTGGTTCCCATTTCAGTTTGCAACGAGTACTGCCATCCTGGCTTTCAGAAGAAAAGTAAGGAAGGAGAAAAGTTTTGTTGTTATGATTGTGCTCTATGCCCAGCAGGAAGGATTTCAAACCAGACAGGTGGGCGTTCCAATATTGGTTTTTTGTCATTTAAAGATAATTGAGTTTCTGGGGTTAAATGCCAAAATTTGGACATGAAGGGTTGCCATGACTGGTATGTAACCACATAGCTATTCAATGACTAATGATTAAAGCAGATGACAAGGTCCTCTTCTGCAAGACCAGATGATATCATCATCATGGGGTTACATTACTCTTCAATGAACACACAGAGGGAGCAGTACTTGTAATACCACTACGACACAGCAATTCAGCAGCAATTCAAAATGATTTTTGGCTATTAAAGTCTCCCTCTCACCTCCATCCTGAAGCTCGCAAAGGCTATGTAGGGGAAATCAGAGTTGTAGAAATCTTAAGAACTTTGCTCATGAGTTATAGGGATTCCCTTCACTGTCTTGCTCACAATAGTGCAATGATTAGTGTATTGCTATAGCAAAACAAGAAATCTGAGGGTACAAGACGGAGGAGAAAGCCAGTTAGTGCATCAACATAGACTTACTATTGTGTGTTTGGAGAAACACACATGTCAACTTATCTAGGCAGATGCAGACACCATCTGGGATCAAAAGAAGATGGTGCCCAGGCTTTATTTAATTCATGTCATATGCAAAAACAAAACCTACAGTGGCCAAAATTCTCTTCCCTAACAAGTCAGCGTAAGAAAAGAGATGTCATCAGCAATGGTAGATTTCCATCGTTTAAGCAGTTCTTGGTTTCAATTCCTCTTTGGTTCAACTAATTCTCACTTTCTGTGATTCAGGTGGCTTCATCTACAGTGTGTTCCCTTAGTTGCAATATTCTGCTGCAGAACGCATCATTTCCCTTAACTAGTGAAATTAGACCAAGAATTTTGGGTATAGTCTCCCTCAAGCACTGTTTGTTCCCCACCTTGAGACTCAGAGAAGTAAATCAATGAGTCTCCATCTGAGACCCAGATGCATGACAGCCCGACATGACAGTGATCATTAGTGAACCAGAAGATTACTGTCAAGGTTACTGTTATCAGAAGATTTACCTGCACATTGGCCACAAGATAGCCTTACTGAACCCACTGAGTTAAATGCATTCATCATCAACACAGCAGCTAGATTATTATAACTAGTAATTATATCTTAACTTGGGATATTTTAAGTTTTTTTAAAATACTGTATATGTATATATAGCAATTAAGATATGTGGAACAAGCAAGGAGATGTCCTTGTGAGCGCTCATTGCTTTGGGCAATTGACATCAAAGTTATATTTCTAGATTTCTGTATGCTCCCCTTCCCTGTTTTCTTTTTGTCTTCTTCAGATATGGACGAGTGTCTCAAATGTCCAGAAGACCAGTATCCAAATGAGAACAAAACTAGATGCCTGCCCAAACTTGTCATATTTTTGTCTTATGAGGAGCCTTTAGGGTTGAGTTTAGCCTTGGTTGCTCTTTCTTTTTCCCTGATCACAGCCTGGATCTTAGGACTTCTCATGAAGCACAAAGACACCCCCATTGTCAAAGCCAACAATCGGGACCTCACCTACACTCTCGTCATCTCTCTCCTCCTCTGCTTCCTCTCTTCTTTGCTCTTTCTTGGACGACCTGGAAAGTTGAGCTGCCTCCTCCAACAGCCGGCCTTTGGCATCATCTTTTCAGTAGCTGTTTCTTGTGTCTTGGCCAAAACCATCACCGTGGTCGTGGCTTTCATGGCCACCAAACCAGGATCCAACATGAAGAAATGGCTGGGAAGAAGGACAGCAAACTACATTGTGCTCTCCTGCTCTTTAGGTCAAGCAGGAATTTGTATCGTGTGGTTAGGAATGTCTCCCCCGTTCCCAGATTTTTACATGCAATCTTTGACAGAAGAGATTGTTGCAGAATGTAATGGAGGCTCTGTTCTTATGTTTTATCTTGTCCTAGGCTACATGGGATTTTTGTCCTTCATCTGCTTCACACTGGCTTTCCAAGCCAGGAAGCTGCCAGACAGTTTTAATGAGGCCAAGCTCATCACCTTCAGCATGGTGGTCTTTTGCAGTGTTTGGGTGTCCTTTGTTCCCACCTATTTGAGCACCAAGGGGAAGTCCATGGTGGCTGTGGAGATCTTCTCTATCTTAGCTTCCAGCGTTGGCCTCTTGATTTGCATCTTTGCTCCCAAGATTTACATTCTTCTCTTGAGGCCTGAGTTGAACACCAAAGAACATCTGACAAGAGGGAAAAGGAGTAAAATGAAATGACTTCCCTAGCATACACAGAATTTTCATCTATAAATGGTGAAGTTGGTTCAGAGTTGCTCAACCGCATTAGTCCTCACTAATATAGTTTCTATCAATTTCTTCAGGTCTGTGCTAAAATTGAATAAATGTTGCTTCACTTAGATATCTTGAACTATCCATTGTTATCACACAAGGAGAAAGCAAACCAATATGAATTAAGTATACAAAATAAAACTAGAACTTTGCTGGTTGACTTATTGTTTCCCCATTGCACTTTTGAGTCATTCTTTGATATTATTTAATTGTACCAATTAGACCTGCAAAATAAATCATGTTTGTCTTTAACTGTCATGGAATTCTTTGTTGTTGTTTTTGTTATTGTTTGCATGAACAGACAAGCACAGCGGGTCCCATCTGCTGGCAATTTGCAGAAAGAAGCTTGCTAAAGCTGAATCTTGCCCTCTGTCCTACAAGTTATGCCTTTTTACCCCAACTGTATCACGTTTTCTGTGTCTCTATGGAACTGGGAGATGAAGGAACACGTTCTTGGCCATGTTCATCTTCTTTTAATGTTCACATATTTCTATGGGAGGCCCAGATACTATCTTTGCTTATTGAATAAATCATAATATGTGTGGGGTATGGAGATGTCAACAGAAATGTTCTGTAAGCAGAGACTGAGTATAGGGTATAGCTAATCCAAGCTCCTTGCAATTGTGAATTGCTACAACTGAAACTCTGCTTCTTGTGACTTTCTACAGTGGTGCCTCGCTAGACAGTTACCCCGCATGACAGTTTTTTCGCTAGACATTGGCTTTTTGTGGTCGCTATAGCGATTCGCAAAACAGTTATTCCTATGGGGGAATTTCACTGGACAATGTTTGGTCCCTGCTTCACAAACTGATTTTCGCTGGACGACAATTTTGACAGCTCCCTCCGCGCTGGGGTTTTCGGGACCTAAGCTTTGCAAGACAGCGATTTAAACAGCTGATCGGCGGTTCACAAAGCGGCTTTCCTATGGCCGATCTTCGCTAGACGACGATTCTTCCCCATTGGAACGCATTGAACAGGTTTCAATGAATTCCAATGGGGAAATGCTTTTCGCTAGACAATGATTTCGCTAAACAGCAATTTCAGTAGAACGGATTATCATTGTCTAGCGAGGCACCACTGTACTTGGTTCTGAATCATTAGGTGTCTCAGGTATAGTAGTGTGTGGCAGTGTTGTGAGCTGTCTGGGTACTCTGCTGGAGATAAACCTGATTTTTGGAAGTGTCAGCCGAGAGAGTTCAGTACTCCCTTGGCAAGGCACAAGTTATACTTTCTTCCACTAAATGTCTAGATTTAGCGAAGCCAGTTCTGTTCAGTTTTGACGGTTCATCTTCCAGGTGAAGTAGAATCAGCAATGCAGAGGAGCAGTCTTGGAAAGGTGCCGAACCAAATTTGTTTTCAATGTGAAATCCAGACTGCTGGTTTTCAGGAGGCATTTTTGCTCAGCCTGAGGAGGTCCTTATGACACACGGCTATCTGCAATTCTGGTTATCCCCCTCTTTCCACCAATGGGCTGAGAAAGACTCAAATTAGTGTTCAGAAATTGAAGTTTAAGAAATGTGAAAGTTTTATCTGAAGTGTTTGATTTCTACCAAGAGCAATCAAGTGATAAATATGCCCACATCAGCGAGGATCTTTCCTCCTCCCGTAGCTGCAGTAAGGATAAAATAGAATAATCGCTCATTTGCTACCATGGATTTTTTTTCCCAGTGTGAGAATGGAGCCTGAGGTCTTTCCACCGGTATGGAATGGCATGGGATGCTCTTGTATGAGAAGAAATAGTGGAGTCAAGAAAAAGGTCAGGGGGGTTTGAAGAAAGATTATTTGAAGCACACCCAGCTCTGGATTTAGTCTATACACCGAGTTTTATAGATTCAAATCAAGGGTGGCTGGTAGGGTTCATCAGATGCAACCAAGAATAGTGCCCGGCCATAAGCCCAAGGAATCCTGCTTTGGGAAATGCTTAGTCTTCTTAACACTCATTTTTGTCTATCTTCCCTGTTGCTTAGAATCGATTCATACACTGCTCTATTAGAGCATTCTTAACACTCATTTTTGTCTATCTTCCCCATTGCTTAGAATCGATTCATACACTGCTCTGTTAGAGCATGCCCTACAGTATTTGCATGATTAAAAGATTTACAAGATTTTTTTAAAAATGTAAAAAAGAGAAAATAATTAAAAGATTTGTGTTAACACCATCCTGGAGATTCAGTTATTGTAGGAAGCTTTCAATAGTTCTGTTTTCTACAATTTTTTAAACATCAGGAGAGAAGGAGCCTGTTGCATATCCAATGGAGATCTATTCCAGAGACTGGGGGCCACCACCAAGAAAGCCCGATCTTTCTGGCTTCCCTTGGTGTGGCTAGTTTTAGCAACATGGCAACTCTGTTTTTCATCCAGCCCATTGCTTTTTTCATCGACGTATCCTGCTTTATTAATTTGATTTTTGTACTGTGCGGTCTATGGACTCCTCTGGGTGGTTTATAAGTTAACTCTTAAAAATCCCACAGACTCTACGTAACAATAAATATGACAATATGAAATACAATAATCATACTAAAAAAGAGAGAGAGAAAGAAGAAGAAAAGAAAAAAATAAAACATTATTAAGAACAACCTGGAGATTCATGAAGGCAGCGCAGCTTTCCTGAATAGAAGAGGGAAGGAGCCTATCTCTCTTGGTAATGTTTGCAGGGACTAGGAGCCATCACCAAGGAAGCCCATGTTACCCATGTTTTGAAATCATGTGAGCCACGGTTTCTCAATTTCTCTATAGGTCAGATCCTGATCCCCTGATACTTAGAACCAGCCACTAAGATTTGGATGCCAACCTCTGCCTCAAAGTATCTAATGTCACACTTTGACTAGCATACATTGTTGTAGTGACACTACTGCTCACGTGTCCAGGAAGACTTGGCTAATTTAAAGGTTGGCATTGGTTACAATGGAACGAATTTACAACAAAAAATTCACTGAAGAAATATATCTGGCTTCCCAGACAGAAAAAAACATTGACTTGGTATATTAAACAAAGAGTGTAGCCCTGTGTCAGACGTTCGGCTAGTGCCTTTATGAGGAAACCAAAGCTTACTTATCTTCCACTAATCAAGAGTATATGAAAGCTGTGAATACTAGCTGAGATTAGTGAGACACTTAGGAGGAAACCAAGCCTTATGAGGAAAGGCTAAAAGAATTGGGCATGTTTAACCTTGAGAAAAGAAGGCTGAGGGGGTGAGTGAGTTACCTCGGGAGTTGGTGAGTGCTCCAACACTGGAGGCATTTAAGAAAAACTTGAATAATAACCTGGCTATATATATATCCGCCACCAACCTATTCTTCCATTTCTGCTCTTCAAGCACGGCAGGAGAGGAAACTGAACACCTTCCGTATGCGTTGTCTCTGACACATTTTTGGTATTACCTGGCAGGACAAAGTTCCAAATAGAGTAGTCCTAGATCGAGCTGGAATTTTTAGCAGGTATACATTACTGAAACAGTGACGTCTACGTTGGCTCAGGCATGTCGTGAGAATGTCTGATGGTCGGATTCCGAAAGATCTCCTGTATGGAGAATTAGTGCAGAGAAATCGCCCCAGAGGGAGACTACAGCTGTGATACAAGGATATCTGCAAGCCGGATCTGAAGGGATGGAGAATTAGTGCAGGGAAATCGCCCCAGAGGGAGACCACAGCTGCGATACAAGGAGATCTGCAAGCGGGATCTGAAGGCCTTAGAAATGGACCTCAACAGATGGGAAACCTTGACATCTGAATGTTCAGCCTGGAGGCAGGCGGTGCATCACGGTCTCTCCCAATTTGAAGAGACCCTTGTCCAGCAGGCCGAGGCAAAGAGGCCGACCCGAAAGCAGCAAAATCAGGGAGCTGGACAGGGGACAGATTATGCTTGTCTTCAGTGTGGAAGGGATTGTCACTCTCGAATTGGCCTCCTCAGCCACACTAGATGCTTTTCCAAGTCCTCAATACAGAGCACGTTACCATAGTCTCTTGAGACTGAAGGATGCCTACACTGATCTTCTCAGCATTTGAAACTGTCATCCATGTCTGAGGGAGAGGAAAAACGGTTCCTCAAGACTGAAGTCTATATCATATAGAATCAACATTTGTACGTAACCTCAACACTAAGTTGAATGGCCATTCATTTAGATAACGGGGAAAAAAATCTGAAAACAAGTATCAGAAAACATGGGCGAAATTTGGAAAGAATAAGAATTTCACAGAAAAGGCATAAGATTTTTTGGGGAAAAAATCAACCAGATTTCATTGCAATTTCCATTCATGTTTTTGATTCAGTGTGAGTCCAGAACACTGATGCTTATGTTGCATTTTTCTCCCACCAATCGGAAGATCCATAATGTGGTTCCAGTGATATGGGGAAACTGAATAATTTATTGCACTGCAATATCAAACATTTCCAAGAAAAGAGTGTATCCACTGTATGACTATGACACTGTATGACTATGAATGAAATCAGTAATAGATCTATAATGGACCTATATGGGGTCCCCAATGCAGCTTCTGTTTGCATGGGCTAGGGAGAAACCAATTCCTGGGCATGTCATGCTGTCTTCTTTGCCTGCTCCATTAAGTTGTCAGAAGGAGCAATATCACTCATTCCACTATCCTGAGTCCTTGTTCCTTTCTTGATAGAGTCTTCAATGTTATTCTACAGCCAACAGATGGCAGCAGAATCTACCAATGTACTGTATTTCTTTTCACCCGGCAGTTATGCTTTGATCGCACTGAACAAGGGGTTGGACTTGATGGCCTTGAAGGCCCCTTTCAACTTCCCTTTTCTATGATTCTATGATTTCTGTGATAATGACCAAAAATGTCTCTCACTTTAGGAGACAGAAATTAAATATAAAATTTTTTGTCATGGATCCAAAACACAGAATTTTTTAAATTCCATATACAATCTCCTGCAAAAAAAAAATGATGGATGTAGTCTACATAAAACTTAGCTATTTTATTCTCAAATTTTATTTCCATCACAGATCTGAATGATGAATAAATTGGCCTCACTTTCCCAGGAACCAAATCTGGAGTAACAGAAACAGAACTTAATCAGGCAGAGTTTGTTGTAAATCAGGAATTTAAAAACCTCAGAAGATTTGGCTACTTTCTTAGTTGTGCAGATACGTACAAATTGAATATCTGAACACTCTACAGTGGCCAGAATTATTTCAAAATAATTCATTTCAAGATATGTCTGAAGAACCAGTTCGCATCACAAACTATGTGATGACTAAACAGAGGGATAAAGAGAGAGGAGAGAGAATATGTCAGAGCTTCTTCATGCCTCTTTTATGCGTGAATGGCAGGAACAGCCTCCTTATGCAAATCGCACCTTGGCTCCATCCTTCATTAAATGGAGATTCCCTCCATTTCGCAGCCCAACCTAGAAATCACCATGAAGTCTCTGGCTCTCTTCCTCTTTGTCTTCTCCCTCATTAAGCCAGGTCTGTGTTCGGATTGGGTGTTTCCTTACATGTATAGAAAAAGGTTCTAGGAGAGAGAAAAGAGTAGATGGGAAGTAACTGATTCTTCTCATGCAAGTGCTGCTAAAACAATGTAGAACTATTCTTAAAATCCTTTTTTTCCCATCAATATACCCAATATATTACAGGGAGGACATTAACAATTTAGCTATCCTACTTTTTTTTTCTTCTTTTTTCCTAGGATTTTCTGAAATCCGCTTGACACAGTCTGGTGGGGAAACATGGAAGCCTGGAACAACCCTCCAGCTGACCTGTGCAGTCTCTGGAGACACCGTCACTTCTGGGTATTCCTGGAATTGGATCCGCCAGCCACCCGAGAAGGGACTGGAATGGATAGGGAGGATATACTACAGTAGTTCCAAATGGTACACAAATTATGACTCAGCTTTCCAGAGCAGGGTCTCCATCACGGCTGATGCCTCCAAGAATGAGTATTATCTCGAGCTGAGGTCCCTGACAGCTGCCGACACAGCCGTGTATTACTGTGCCCGAAGAGCACAGTGAGACAAAGCAAGTCTGGCATCTGTACAAAAAGGGGAACTTTGTCTCGGGTTGAATCAGGTCACAGGGGAGAAAACATTTTCCTGGTGCCAAAACTTCCCTCTTCAGATTGTCACTCCATTTTCCACTGAGGTGGAATCCAACTCTCCCTTCCCAGATTTACTTTGTAAGAAGCCTATGACTTTTCTCAGCCACAAACAGGGAATCAAACTGGAACTGTACCCGTTCGTGGCTGATTATCTTTAAATTAGGGCTCACAGACTTCATCAGAGGGCTGTGGATCTTAGTGCCACATGCAGATCCCTCCCACAATAACTCTGCATGATTTTATTCCTTCCCACCCACCACCTGAGGTGGCTGCCTCATTCTGCTTGGGGCCAAAGTAGGCTTCTCTTCAGTCTCTGGGGGTACAAAACAAGTCTGGCATCTGTATAGAAAGGGAATCTCTTCTCTTTTTAAAAAAATCAAAGACAATTTGCTGGTGCTCCAGGTCAAAGCTCCTGTTTTCACCCAGCAAAAAATGTAAACTATAAACTACATAGTTATAAATATATATAAATATCCTTAATATATTAAATACATATTTAAGAACTTTGAAAATACATAAATCTTATATATATTTGATAATTAAGAGTTCGCTTCATTGATTCCATTCAATATGAGTCCCTTATAATGGCAGAAATTCCTGGACATGTCATGCTATCTCCTTTGCCATCTCCATTAAGTTGTCCGATGGAGCGTTATCACTCTTTCCGATATCCCGAGTTTTGGGGCAGAGCCTCACATGCTCTTCTACAGCCATTAGATGGCAGCTCAATCTGCCAATGTGCTTCATCATCATGACCAAGAATTCTCATCTCAGGAGCCAGAAAGTTCCAACACAAATACGCCCTGAATTCTAACCAAGAGATGCTGGTAAAAAATCTGAGCAGGATAGTACAAGAAAGAATTATTCAGCAATCAAACTGACAAAGTCTTGCCTGCTGCTCGGTCATAATGGCAGTTTTGATCAGTAAAGGAGGGGAGGGTTTTGCTGGGTAGTTAATAACTCTCCACGAGTTGGCAAATCACATTTTGGAGCACTTCGGAAAGAGTTTGCCTATGAATCAGTCACTGTATTAGGGAGGAGAAGAGGAGAAGATGCAGGGTGGTGTATGTTCTCTGAGGTGTACCCATTGTAGAACATGTATCTTGTAGCTTTCCTTCAGAGGTCTTCCCCTCTTTGAGTGGGACAACGAACAAATTGCAGGGACTCACAATAGGTTAACCACAGGGAGCACACACTGTTAGAAGCTCTGGATTCTTTTAGGATTAGATCTGAGTAAAGTTCTGGAAGTGAGCCGCTCTGACGAGAATCTATATTGACTCAACTCAGGCTATTGTACTTTGGATCCATGCTTCATGGCAGAATAGGTCCCGGACAGAAAGTGAATTATGGTCCCTGGCCTTCGGACATGTTGTGAGCAGGGAAGAATACCTGGTGGGGGAAAAACATACCGCTAGGAAACTTGGAAGGGAAAGAAAGAGAGGAAGACTGATCATGAGATGGATGAAGTCAATGAAGGAAGAAGACCTGAAATGGGAGATTCAGGATAAAACACAGAGGTTCAGACCCTCTCCACACTTTGGACTCTATAGCTCAGAAATCACTTCCAAGCCAACATACGGATAAAACACAGAGGTTCAGACCCTCTCCATACTTTGGACTTTATAGCTCAGAAAGCACTTCCAAGCCAACATAACTGGTATAAGATCATTGTGGAATGCCAATATTTTGACTACAGCTTCCACTGCCCCTCCTGACGGAGGTATTCCTTGGAAGGGAAAGAAAGAGAGGAAGACTGATCATGAGATGGATGGAGTCAATGAAGGAAGAAGACCTGAAATGGGAGATTCAGGATAAAACACAGAGGTTCAGACCCTCTCCATACTTTGGACTTTATAGCTCAGAAAGCACTTCCAAGCCAACATAACTGGTATAAGATCATTGTGGAATGCCAATATTTTGACTACAGCTTCCACTGGCCATCCTGACGGAGGTATTCCAGCAGATGTAATCTGAAAGAATTCATGTTTTCCAATTCAGCTTATGTCATCACCAGAGTTTTTCTTTATGTCACCAGCTTATGTTTTTACATCAGTTGTAGTTACAACCAAGATAGAACTTCAAAGAGCACACCTGAAATTCCATAAATTGATTGTGACCAGAGATCAAAGAGAATGCACAATACAGGAGAGAAGAAAAAAAGGCCCCATGAATTAGGGAGAATGGAACCAACTATGATTTCAAAGCTCATGAAATAATCTTCCTGCAACAAACATCATCCTATTCCAACTAAGTTTGCAAAACTAATTAAATATAAAAGTAAAGGTTCCCCTTGACATTTAGTCCAGTGGTGTCTGACTCTAGGACGTGGTGCTCATCCCTATTTCCAAGCTGTAGAGCCAGCGTTTGAAGACAGTTTCCGTAGTCATGTGGCCAGTGCGACTAGACACAGAACGCCGTTACCTTCCCACCGAGGTGGTACCTATTTATCTACTCGCATTTTTACATGCTTTCAAACGGCTAAGTTGGCAGGAGCTGGGACAAGTGACGGGAGCTCCGTCCGTCATATGGACTTGATCTTACGACTCCTGGTTTTCTGACCTTGCAGCACAGAGGCTTCTGCGGTTTAACCCGCAGTGCCACCATGTCCCATTTGCGAAATGAAAGTGCATATTAAAACAAAAGATGAAGAAAGAAAATTAATTTAATTTCCTTGTAAACAGGGGGGGAAAGTAGTTCTCCAAACAGAGGCTCTTAATACAAATACAATATTTGGGGATTGGGGGAATAGAGATGTATTCTACATGACACTTTGCCATTTTATTGTCCAATTTCATTTCCATCATACATCTAATTCAATGCATAAATTCACCTCCTCAAGAACCAAATTTCTCCGTTCCAATTCGATCAGGACTAATGCAAGTGGAGCCGAATCAGACTCCTCTGGTGGGAATTGGGGATTTAGCAAACCTAGAAGATAGCATTCTAGCTGCTTTTTAAATAAGGCACTAAATGAATTTCTGAACACTCTTCCATAGCCAGACCATGTAGCAAAACATTTGATTGAAAATGTGTCAGAGCTTCTTCATGTCTCTTTTATGCATGACTGGCAGGTACAGCCTCCTTATGCAAATTATACCTGGGCTCCATCCTTCATTAAATAGAGATTCCTTCCATTTCGCAGCCCAACCTAGAAATCACCATGAAGTCTCTAGCCCTCTTCCTCTTTGTCTTCTCCCTTATTAAGCCAGGTCTGTTTTCGGTTTGGGTGAATACATGGGAAATAACTGGTTCCTCTCATGCAAGTGCTGCTAAAATAATTTAGAAGAACCCTTAAAATACTTTTCTCTCGTCGCTATACCCAATATACTAAAGGGAGGATGTTAACAATTTCCCTATCCTAACACATTTATTTTTCTTTTTGTCCTAGGATTTTCTGAAAACCGCTTGACGGAGTCTGGTGGGGGGGCATGGAAACCTGGAGCATCTCTCCGGCTGACCTGCGTGGTCTCTGGGTATAGCATCACTTCTGGTGCTGGATTGAACTGGATCCGCCAGCCACCCCAGAAGGGGCTGGAATGGGTAGGGAGGGGATACTACAGTGGTTCGACCTGGTACACAAGTTACGGCTCAGCTTTCCAGAGCAGGACCTCCATCACTACTGATGCCTCCAAGAATGAATTCTACCTCGAGCTGAGGTCCCTGATAGCTGCCGACACAGCCGTGTATTACTGTGCTCGAGGATCACAGTGAGACAAAGCTCATCTGGGGTCTGTACAAAAAGGGGAACTTTCTCTCACATTGAATCAGGTCACTGATGAGAAAACAATTTCCTCACACCAAAACTTCCCTCTTCAAATTGATACTCCATTTTACGCCAAAGTGGAATCCAAATCTCTGTTTCTGGTTTTAATTTGTAATAAGACTGTAAGATTTTTCATCTGCAAACAGCAAAATAAACTGGAACTGTGCCCGTTTGTGGCTTTTTTTTTTTTGACTCACAGACTTCATCACAAAGCTGTGAATCCTCATGCCTCACGCAGATCCCTCTCACAATACTTCTGCATGATTTTACCCCCTCCCACATCATTCAGCTCTGTGCCAAAGTGGACTTGTCTTCAGACCCTGGAGATACAAAACAAGTCTGGCGTATGTAGAGAAATGGAGTCTGTTCTATTCCCTCTAATCATTGTCATTCCTGTTTACAGTGAGGTTATTTCTTCTACTTCTTTGCACACTTTCTTATCAGTTCATGAACACATAGATTCAACCATCAGCAGTAACAGGGTGGATAGAGAATCCCCTGGCCTTGAATAATAGCATCTACGTTAGGTCTGAATTCCCTCAAATGTTTGGGAAAAGTTCTGACCTGCCTCATTTCCGGGGTCATGGCACTATTTCGCTGCATTTCTGGATCTCTGTTCTAAAGAAAGATCCCATGAATGAGGGAGAATGGGAACAGAAATCACAATAGAGTCCATAGCTGTGTTTTCAGTCATTAAGCCAGTTGTGTTCGGAATAGAGGTTTCCTGATGCCAAAGCTTCCCTCTTCAAATTGACGCTCCAGTTTGCAGTGAGGTGGAATCCCAATCTATATTTTCAAATTCTCACAATTTTTTTTTAATTATGACGACTTCAGACAGCTGGGAATCCTAGTGCCTCATGCAGATTCCTCCCAAAACACTTCTGCTTCATTTTATGCCTTCCCACCCACCACCTGAGGCGGCTGCCTCATTCTTCATTGTGCCAAAATGGGCTGCTCCTCAGAACCTGAGGGTACAAAACAAGTTGGCGCTTTTCTTACGTTCCTCTTTAAACAGATGTTTCCAGCCTTTTGACAGGTAGACCACCCATCTCTGTGCTTTACCTAAAAAATCTGAAAAGGGTCACCATAAATTTGGAATCAGAGGCCAAGCCCCCGAGCAGTTTTTCCCATCTTAGAATGCTAAAACAGAATTCTGAATGTGCTCAGATAGTATTTAATTTAGGCAGAATAATTGTTTAAAGTTGTGTTGTAGGTGAATGTGCAGAAGGCTTTTAATTGAAATAACAACTGTGGGTCCTGATGATGGCAATTCTAATTGTATTTTAATTGTATTTTAATTGTATTTTAATCATTTTATTGTATTGAATTTTTAATTATTGTAAGCCACCCAGAGACCTCTGGGTAAAGTGGGCGGCATATAAATTAAATAAATAAATAAATAAATAATACAAAACACAACCGGGCCTTAAGCTGTTTGCCATGAAAGACGCTAGGACTGAGGGGGAATGCAAACAGTTGTGAGTTCAGCGAAGGGGAAATATGCAACATCCTTTTTGGGTGACCTCTCCACTCAAAGTCCTGGCAACAACTTTCCACCCACAGGGAAAAAGACACTGGACCTTCATCAAGCAATACGATTTCAGTAAAGCCTAGGAAACTGACGTGAGTGAAAGAACACTCTTCAGAGCAGAGTGTAATAAAATAACAAGAACAATAATATTTTACTAATGGGTTCAGAGATTCGTTTGAAACCACTAGCTCTGTGATGAGTACATGGAGGAATAAAAAGAGAATTAGAGAGTGTGTCCGAACTTCTTCGTGTCTCTTTTATGCATGACTATCAAGCACAACCTCCTCATGCAAATTGCACATTCGATAACTCCCTCTTTAAAGAGAGACTTCCTCCATTTCACAACCCATCCTGGAAATCTCCATGGAGTCCCTACCTGCCTTTCTGCTTCTCTTGTCAGTCCTTAAGCCAGGTCTGTGCTGGGAAAGAGAGGTTTCCTCTTAATAGAGAGAGGAATTAGAGCAGGGAAAAGGGAATATGGGGACAGAAACAGATTCTGCTGTAATACCAGCTGGAAGTATGGCTGAAGCAGTTAAGAACTATTCTTAAAAGGTTCTTGTTCCAGCAAAATCCCCAATAAGTTCAAGGGAGGGCATTAGCAGTGATGTTGGGAATTTTGGTCTATCTCTGAAGAGAGACATCAAAATCAATTTCAATCACTTTAAAAATGTGTTAGTTTTAGGACATGCAACTTTAAACAATTTATATGCTGTATCATTTTCTTGCTGTTTTTCCTAGGCTCTTCTGAAATCCGCTTGACCCAGTCCGGTGGGGAGACATGGAAGCCTGGAGCAACTCTCCGGCTGACCTGCGCGGTCTCTGGATACGCCATCTCTTCTGGCTATTACTGGCATTGGATCCGCCAGCCACCCCAGAAGGGGCTGGAATGGGTAGGGAGGGGATACTACAGTGGTTCGACCTGGTACACAAGTTACGGCTCAGCTTTCCAGAGCAGGACCTCCATCACTACTGATGCCTCCAAGAATGAATTCTACCTCGAGCTGAGGTCCCTGATAGCTGCCGACACAGCCGTGTATTACTGTGCACGAAGAGCACAGTGAGACAAAGCAAGTCTGGCATCTGTACAAAAAGGGGAACTTTGTCTAAGGTTGACTTAGGACACAGGGGAGAAAAAACATTTCCTGGCACCAGCGCTTCCCTCTTCACATTGACACTCCAGTTTCCAGTGAGTTGGAATCGAAATCTCATTTTCCAAGGTTAATTTGTAATAAAACAGGGACATTTCTCATCTGCAAATAGCAAATTAAACTGAAAGAGTACCCAATTGGGGCTGATTTCTAGGTCCCCTGTCTTTACATTTTTCTGAAATCTGCTTGACGTACCCCAGTGGTAGGAGATGGAAGCTTGGAGCATCCTTCCAACTAATCTGGGCAGTCTCTGGAAACACCACAACTTCTGACTCTCTGTGGAATTGGATCCACCGGCTGCCCCAGAAGGGACTAGAATGCATAGGGGACGGATACGGTGGTTCCACCTGGAAGACAATTTAAGGCTTATCTTCCAAGAGCAGACCTGAAATCCCATAAATTGACTGTGAAGAGAGTGTAAAGAAAATGCACAATTCAGGAGAGAATTGAACATGTTAGATTTGCACTTTTAATGTCTGAAATTCTGAACGTGTCTTCAAAATACAACTTGGCCCTTCTGCTCCTTTCCTGTATAAACAGTGGTTTACAGCCCTTCCTAGAAAACACAATGGGGCCTGTAGCTTTACGCCATGAAAGACTCCATGACTGAGGGAGAACGCAAAGACCTATGAATTCAGCGAAGGGGAAATATGCAGCATCCTTCTTGTGCGACCTCTCCACTCAAAACCTGTGTAACGACTTTCCACCCACAGGGAAAAAGACACCGGACCTTCACCAAGCAATAAGATTTCAGTAAAGCCAAGGAAACGGATGTGAGTGAAAGAACACTCTTCAGAGCAGATCTGTGTAAAAAAAGAAAAGAATCCTTTCTTAATGAGTTTAAAAATTCATTTGAAACCACTAGAGAGGTATGTGATTAGTAAATGGAGGAATAAAAAGAGAATTCGAGAGCATGTTTGAACTTCTTTGTGTCTCTTCTATGCACAACCTCCTCATGCAAATCGCACCTCCACTACACTCCCTCTTTAAAGAGAGATTTCCTTCATTTCACAACCCATCCTGGAAATCACCATGGAGTCCCTACCTGTCTTTCTGTTTCTGTTGTCAGTCCTTAAGCCAGATCTGTGCTGGGAAAGAGGGGTTTCCCTTATTTCTGGAGAGAGGAATTAGAGCAGGGAAAAGGGAATACGGGCGCAGGAATGGATTCTGCTCTGGAACAGCACTTGCAAGTACGGCTTAAGCAGTTAACTATTCTTGAAAAGTTCTTGTTTCTGCAAGATCCCCAACACGTTCAAGGATAGGCATTAGTAGTAATGTTGGGAACTTCTGGATTTCTGTTCTAACGAAATATCTCACGAATGAGGGAGATGCAAACAGCTATCGGTGGGGAAGGCAGACATACATAACCCTACTCGTGTGACCTCATGCAACCATGTTTGAGTTTCATCTTTCTTTTATGCGTGAATGCCAGGCACAATCCCCATAGGTAAATATGCCCATGGGCTACCTCCCTCTTTAAATAGAAATTTCTTCCATTTCACAGCCCTTCCTAGAAATCACCATGAATCTGTAGCTGTGTTTCTGTTTGTCTTCTCAACCATTAATCATTGCTATGCATTAGACAGCATCGTAAAAAGCAGAGACATCACCTTGCCGACAAAGGTCCGCAGAGTCAAAGCTATGGTTTTCCCAGTAGCAATGTATGGAGGTGAGAGCTGGACCATAAAGAAGGCTGACCGCCGAAGAACTGATGCTTTTGGATTGTGGTGCTGGAGGAGGCTCTTGAGAGTTCCCTGGACTGCAAGGAGATCAAACCTATCCATTTTGAAGGAAATCAAATCCGAGTGCTCACTGGAAGGACAGATCCTGAAGCTGAGGCTCCCATGCTTTGGCCATCTGATGAGAAGAGAAGACTCCCTGGAAAAGACCCTGATGTTGGGAAAGTGGGAAGGCAAGAGGAGAAGGGGACGACGGACGACGAGATGGTTGGACAGGGTCATCGAAACAACCAACATGAATTTGACCCAACTCAGGGAAACAGTGGAAGAGAGGAGGGCCTGGCATGCTCTGGTCCATGGAGTCACGAAGAGTTGGACACGACTTAACGACTAAACAGCAACAATGCATTACTGTTTTGATTGCATATTTTACGCTACCTATGTTTCCCATTTCTCAGAGTGGCATATCTTCCTTTGGGAAACACAGGCTAGCATGGTGGGAGAAGGAGATGTGGTAGTCTGCATGGCTCTTTCAGTTCTCTCCAGCCTCCTCCTCTAACACCTGCAATCTGAGGTGGTGGTTCCTTATGCCCAGTAGAAGAGTGTGCATGTCGTGAGAGCATAGAGGCATTTTTCTGTCCTAAGGATAATCTGGAAGTTATACCATCTCCCATTATGAGTTCCCTTTGAGAAACAAAGTGTGCACACATAGAGCGAAAGCCGGCAAGGAAGCACTGAATGTTGACTCTTTTACCCGATGAGAAACCATTCCATGCTTCAAATCCACCAAGGCCCATGAAAGAAAGCAGTGACTAATGCCGTTCTCTGCAGTTTCTCTACAGGCATTATTTGTACAAAACTATTGCCTGCAAATGTAAAATCTTCCAGTGAGACAATCAGAAAAGATCTTGCCTTCTTCAAGGTGAGGAGATTTATAAAGCATCACTTCTGGTGCTGGATTGAACTGGATCCGCCAGCCACCCCAGAAAGGACTGGAATGGATAGGGAGGGGATACTACAGTAGTTCCACCTGGAAGACGAATTATGGCTCAGCTTTCCAGAGCAGGATCTCCATCACAGCTGATGCCTCCAAGAATGAATATTATCTCGAGCTGAGGTCCCTGACAGCTGCCGACACAGCCGTGTATTACTGTGCTCGAGGATCACAGTGAGACAAAGCTCGTCTGGGGTCTGTACAAAAAGGGGAACTTTCTCTCACATTGAATCAGGTCACTGATGAGAAAACAATTTCCTCACACCAAAACTTCCCTCTTCAAATTGATACTCCATTTTACGCCAAAGTGGAATCCAAATCTCTGTTTCTGGTTTTAATTTGTAATAAGACTGTAAGATTTTTCATCTGCAAACAGCGAAATAAACTGGAACTATGCCCGTTTGTGGCTTATTTTTTTTGACTCACAGACTTCATCACAAAGCTGTGAATCCTCATGCCTCACGCAGATCCCTCTCACAATACTTCTGCATGATTTTACCCCCTCCCACATCATTCAGCTCTGTGCCAAAGTGGACTTGTCTTCAGACCCTGGAGATACAAAACAAGTCTGGCGTATGTAGAGAAATGGAGTCTGTTCTATTCCCTCTAATCATTGTCATTCCTGTTTACCTATGTTTCCCATTTCTCAGAGTGGCATACCTTCCTTTGGGAAACACAGGCTAGCATGGCGGGAGATGTGGTAGTCTTCATGGCTCTTTCAGTTCTCTCCATACTCCTTCTCTAACATCTGAGGTGGCGGTTCCTTATGCCCAGTAGAAGAGTGTGCGTGACGTGAGACATGGAGGCATTTTTCTGTCCACAGGATCATCTGGAAGTTGCAGCAGCTCCCATTCTGAGTTCCCTTTGGGAAACAAAGTGTGCACACATAGAGAGAAAGCCAGCAAAGAAGCACTGAATGTTGACTCAAAAAGACATCTTTTACCCGATGAGAAACGATTCCATGCTTCAAATCCATCAAGGCCCATGAAAGAAAGCAGTGACTAATGCCGTTCTCTGCAGTTTCTCTACAGGCATTATTTGTACAAAACTATTGCCTGCAAATGTAAAATCTTCCAGTGAGACAATCAGAAAAGGTCTTGCCTTCTTCAAGGTGAGGAGATTTATAATTTCTAATTAATTGGTCTTCCAAATAAAGAAATGAAAGTGATTTTCTAGCCCTTTACCGACCTCGGAAGGATGGAAGGCTGAGTCAACCTTGAGCCGGCTACCTGGGATTTGAACCCCAGGTCGTGAGCACAGTTTTAGCTTGCAGTACAGCGTTTTAATATGACAATGACATACTTTGGAAACCTCATCAACTACTGGACGGCTCAGTCGTTTAGGATTTTGACCACGTTTCAGCCTCACACAGACTCGTATAACTTGAAATATGTACAGAAAAAGTAATTGTTTTTGAGACTTGGACATACTCTTTTTTCTTCTTTCACTTTTCTTTCTCTTCCCTGACCTGCAGATAATATAAAATGTCTGTGTGTGCGCGCGCATGCTCGTGCAATGGGCACAAATCAAAACTGCAGAAATCAATATTGACAGGCATTCAAGTGAAGTGGTCTGTATTGAGATGCTCAAAACCCAGTGTATGTCTGCATGAAAGATGTGATCATGATCTATGTAGGTGGATGTCATCACTTGTTCTGAGTTCTGATACTGGAATTTTTATGGGCTGTTACCATATGTAAATGCAGGAGTTGGCTCCTTTTAAAATCAGAAGCAGAGGAACCCATCTTTGCTGTAGACAGAACTCTTTCCTTTCCCACTAAATACTTTCAAAGCAACTGAGGAAAACATGATCTCTCTTCGATTTGTTATCCTTCTAGTTGTGTGCAGAGGTATTTTTTTCTTCCTTTGAAATTCCAACTTATTCTCTTATTCCTCGGTTTTAATGTGCGACTTAGACACGGAACGCTGTTACCTTCCCACCGAGGTGGTCCCTATTAATCTACTCGCATTTACATGCTTTCGAACCGCTAGGTTGGCGGGAGCTGGGACAAGTGACGGGAGCTCACTCCGTCGCGTGGATTCGATCTTACGACTGCTTGGTCTTCTGACCCTGCAGCACAGGCTTCTGCGGTTTAGCCCACAGCGCCACCACGTCCCTTATACTGGACAGACAGATCTAAAACAGTTTGGGTTGATTCCATTCCTCCAGCCAATCAAGTCTCTGAAACTGGCTTCTCTGCTATAGAGCATCTGCATTGGTAGGGATTAAGGAGTGGATA